CCTACCATAATGCCGCTGAAGACTTCAATCGCCTGTGAAATACTTGTAATAGGAAGGCGGGGTGTGCGCTGCCGTCCACAATTATTAGCGATTTTTCAAGACAGCTTGAAATCAATTTCAACGCAAATATTTCTTCTTGCATAGGTTGTATGACACTCGTCGTATTGCATCCTTTGTCCGACTGGAGATCGGCTTCGGTGTATTGCCCTATCGAGTTTGACAAAGCGGCAGCGATCTTAAACTAAATGGATATGTGACGGTGCGATTTCGACACCCTCAAAAGCAATCGAAGAGTATATAGCTGCTTTGCGAATCCGATTCTTTCGCTATCTCATGTCTTCCACCTCCCAGAAAAACATTGCCATCGTTGGCGTTGGCGGTATCGGAACGCATATCTTACGTGCTCTCGTAGCCACTAACCTGGCCAATGTCGTCGCCCTGACCCGCAGCACTACCGTTCATCCCCATCACCACCATTATTTGCATCTTCATTCTCATGAACAACAACATTCGTCTCCACCTCGCAAAACTCTTCCTTCCGATCTCTCATCGGTATCTCTGATCGAAGCAGATTACAACAATGTACCAGCCGTCACTGCTATCTTCAAAGAACATGACATTGAAATCGTTATCAGCACGGTTCCTGCAGCTGGGCTACATGCTCAGTATACACTGGCCGACGCGGCGAAAGCGAGCGGAACAGTCAAGCTGTTCGTGCCATCAGAGTGGGGCTTACCAAGTGAAGGAGCAAGTCATCGCGGCGAGGACAATACATTTGGTATCAAAGATGGACTTTCAGGTTAACACTAATTGTATCTCAAGTGGCTTACTTTATAACTGTGCATTGCATTTGCAGCACACCTGAGGACGCTTGGATTACCTTATACCAGATTCTTCGTGAGTTCGCCCGGGCACACTGTGCATATATTTGTTGGGGACTGATTAAGTGATAGACGGGTTTCTTCATTGGATACCTTCCATGGTTCGTAGGAATTGATACCAATCACGTTGTGAATGTCATCGGGAAAGGGGAGACGCCTTTTAGCGTTACAAGTGAAGAGGACATTGGTGGTATGTAATTCTTTTCCTTCAATTTTCAAAATCGGGCTCAATCTTTTGGATAAAGGCTTCGTCGCACATGTCCTCACAACTGTACCGTCTTCTTCTCCGCATTTAAAAAACCAATGTCTTCGAATACAAGGGGATCGCATCACCATGCGTGATCTGGCTCGCATCTACCACAAACCGCTTGAGTTTGTTCCTGAAGGCGACGAAGTTCCAGCAAAGACTCCGGAAGAAGCAGCTCTTAAAACATTTTTGCAGATCGAGGCCGATGGTGGAATGGCTAGTACGGGCTGGGATCGCTTGACCGAGACGGAACGAGGAGATGCAGGCAGTGCAAATTGGTTGTGGGAAGGCCATGTGTGGAAAAGGGTAGAAGATAGTATTTAATCATGAAGCCGATATTATCTATCGCTTTGCTTCAACATATCTTTCGTTTGAGTAGCTTAAGGATCGGTTCATTGAGTCGTGCTTTATGCTCATTTTGACCAACTTATAACGTTCTCGATCTACTTGATCTTTCTCTCCTTCTCCTTGTACACCCAAGAACTACGATGAGTCGAGGCTCAGAATATAAGTTTAAAATTAGTACCCGCAAGAGGGAAAGTGAGTTAAGCGCTAATTCGCTCAGCTGTTTTATTCTCACCATCACATCACAGTAATTTTAAGTCGGACACAATTAGCGCTTGAAGAACCACGAGCATTCCTACCACTCTACTTTGAGGCTGCAGAATCTGAACAACACTCGTTCAAATACCGTCTATCTAACACTCTAAGCAGACATCGTATGTCCAGCCTTATTGTTTTCTGCATCCGCTCTCGAACACAAAACTACAGCTCAACCTATGTCGGCTGCTCCAGCTATTTCCCCACCACCGCCTGAAGCTCCGTCAACTTCCAATAACCATAACGTGCCGCTGCACGCCGTGGCAAATGACGAGCAAGTAACGTCTGTGGTTGAGATTGAGCGAATATCGGAAATGCATGTCGACGCTACAGTCTCTTCATCAAAACAGTCTTCACCATCTCCCAATACAACTCAAAAACCTGAGATTGAATCCGTACCCAAGATAACCTTTAAAGCGGTTCATAACTCTCTATCGGACGCTCTTATGTCCTCCATGTCCAATAACAGCCTTCCGGCAAACGCATATCATAGACCCTCTCCGTCAAGATATGCTGGTACGAAACGACCTAGAGCGAATGAGGCAGGGAATGGAAGAGCCAAACGTCTACGGCGTGACGAAGAAAGATACAAACCAGGGTCCTGGGTATTGACCAAGGTGTCGATATTCACAGAATCCATTGGTGTTCAGGACGAGAAAGGGAACAATGAGGTAGAGAATGAGGAAGAGATCGTACGTCTGTTTGTTGTCAACCGCTTAGGCCAAATCTTGCCATCATTTTCCTATACATCATCCGAGCCTCCATATGCAAAACTCACCGACGCGTCGCTTTGCGTTCGTAATATGAATACTCGGTTCGTTCGTGGAAACGTCGAGTCTTCGTCGAGGCCAGATATTAGGCCTAATTCGCACGGCGAAGACGCTAGAATGAACGATGGCGAGCCCAAAGTCACGGCTGTCAGCGATGGAGCCCAGATGTCGGTTCATGACGGATGCAACTCCTCCGCTATTGATCTTGATAATCCCGGACATTCCTTGGAGCTCAAGGCTAAAAAATCTCTTCCTCGTCGAGGATGGATATTCGCTGCTTTAGACGAGAATTTACACAGCAAAAAAACACATGCACCGTCTGAGCTGCTTTCTTCATTCCCGACCCTCCCATGTATTCATCGAGGATGTTTCCTTCCTAATGAAAAAACGCCTAAAACAGAAGGTTTGATCAATGGACTCAATCCAGACTCCCTCGCCGATCACGACAGTATTGAATTTGGGTTCGACGTGGACCTCTCGGGAGATATGAAGCCGTCTCCGAATGAGGACGTTAGCTCGCAAGTCGAGATCGCCGTTCTGGACGACCGAGATAGCGGTGAGGACGACGAAACCGTTAGCGATGCCGACCTGCCAATCGACGAGCTACTTGACGACGACATTGAGGAAGAGCAGAAGGTTTCCGGGCCATCGTCAGTCTCCATACCTCCCGCAGTACCTTCAGAACTGACAGAACCTGAATATAGGCATTCCCCGCGGAAGTATACTCCCGTTACTTTGGCGAACATACCAAGGCGTAACACGGCTAGGACGGCAGCAGCCGCGCGCGCCTCTACTACAAAACCTAACGCAACTGATGTCAATGTGACTATTGCTCCAGCTCAAAAACGTAGAGCATCTTTAGCGAAGGCTGTCGTCCCGAAAGGATTTGAACAACAGGAGATCAAGAATTCTGCGACTACACTTGCAACAGGAACAGATTATAACAATAGCTTCCACGGCACGCGAAAACCTAGTAAAAAAGTGAAACAGCCTGGTTCTAAAAAAGCCGGAAAAGCATATATCGAACCCGCCACATCCAAGTCCGAGTCAGCTTCTGCGAGTGCAAAGAAACCGTCAATTCGAACAACACCCTCACGGGTCAAATCCAATACCAAAAAAGACACTACGGGTGGTGGAACGGCTCCCATACCTCAGCCCCCGTTTTCCGGTAGTACGTCGTCGACTGTGAACAGTGCTTTGACTAATCAACCAAGCGGAAGCACAACCTCGAACCTTCCCGTACCAGACGTACCAGCGCATCCCATTGGTTCTTACAGTCCGTACTCCCCATTCCAAATCACGGCTATACCTCCTCCTACCCTTGTAGTGCCGAGGGCACACCAACCTACTATCGGCTACGCAATGCCCAGCATCCAAATGATCTGGGACTCTGCTCCTGTCATACAAGCACTCCCGTTGCAGCTACAGAGTTATCTATTTACAGCCCTCGCTACTGGGACAGGCCATTTACCACCTGTTATCAATCCTCAGGCTATCCAGGCGGGAATTGGAATCATGGGGAATCCGGGTGCGAGTCAGAATCCTGCTGGTAATGAAAGTGGTTTTGGGAAACCAGGTCCATTGCTTGCGCAATCCTCGACATCTGCTGCGCCTGCACTTGCATCATCTGCGAAACTATCTTCGTCCAACAATGGCATTCCATATTCTGTTCCTTCCTCAACCCCCATGTCGATTCCTCATGTCAGCTCTCATCAACATTCCTTTTCAGTAAATCCCACTCCTATTTCAGTTCCCTTCACATCCACTGCGTCGCTCCAAACCTACGGCCCTGGATCTACTATCGAAAATCAAGCGTCGATATTAAATCCGCAAGTAGCTACTCCGGCAGCTGTGCAGTCGCAGAAAAACAAGAAAGGCGCACAAAAGGATGCATCAAAGGAGAAGAACGTGTCACCCACTGTTTCGAGAATTATGAACGGTAGTGGAAGTTCTGATGTAGAACTAGTCCTTGTCAAACCTCAAAGGCGGAATGAAGAGAACACGAATAAGGATAAAAAGAGTGAGAACAGCGAGGCACTGGATGGGAAAGTGTCAGGTTCTGTATCCTCCCTTCTTGACCTTCAAACTACGCCAGGCGCTGACGGGTACGACACAGTCCAGCCAAACAAGGGAGGACAAAGCGGAGCAGCGAATGTACGACACGCAGATATGGAAGGAGAATTGGACGTGGACAGTGAAATTGACTTGAATGTGTACGCACCGTATACTCTTGATATGATGCGGTGAACTTTGTCGAGGAGTTTATCTTGATATTGCACCTGGTTGCTGGTTGTTAGAATCAATAGGTATTGGTAGTTGGCCGTTATCGTGCAGCGTTTGTATGTAGTATAATTATTGTTGTGTAACTAGGCATTACTGGAACTCACAGGCAGAGAAACTCGCAAGCAGAGAACAAGAAATGGTGGCGGAGGTACGAACTTGAGGTATACATTGTGTGTAGTGAGTAGGTTCCCAAAAACATTCCTCGAGGAGGAAAAGTAATGACGACAGTGGGATTCGAACCCACGCCACGAATGACTAGATCCTGATTCTAGCGCCTTAGACCACTCGGCCATGTCGCCCTATGCATTGAAGGCTAGCGTGATAAATATACATGTAGGTGCTTATTAACCGCCCCTATGACCGCAGGTGGGGATGAAGGCGAAGCGTACAAGTCGCAAACCTCCCATGAGCTGGATCATTCGTTTCTTGAAGTATGAGAAGCTTGGTGAGACGAAAACGCATGAACACGTTGAAGAGACACGAAACTCACACAAAATAGTTTTAAACACACCAGTTTCGATCTATGAATCATTTTATCAACCGGATGTGCTCGAAGAGACGAGCAACCGAATACATGAAAAACCGAATTGAACAAAAACAGTCTTGTACTTATTCCAGCGACCTACATCGGGCCTGTCTATGATCCCCTTTACAATTTGATTTGTTAAAGAACTGCATCCCTGAAAGAAATACGTCGAGAAATAGAGGCTAAAGCTTGAGAGACCACAGAGCCTTTCGGATGATGAATGATCTATGTACGTTGCAACTGGCGCTAACTTCTCCAGCGACCAATCCATTACATTTACCTCCACATCCGAACATATGTGGTGCCTTGACACTGGGGGAATTGAAAACTTTCTTAAAGCCTTAAAGTGTGTATCATGGAACAGAGGGCTGTAGAATGATGGTCGGAGATATACAATGGAGCAAATCCTATTAAATGGAGATGTGCGCACATGTCCGGTTCAACAAACGGAGGGTGAATAAGTAAAGTAACATTTCAAGAAAGTACTTAAGGAGACCTGGCAATGGCTGACAATCAGTCGGAGTTTGCACCCTGCCTATTCCGCTAGTTTACGATTTCATCCACAACGGAATATTGCGTGAAGGGCAATGATACAGCATTACGGATCGCGTGATGAAGTATCGTCCAAGTATTTGTCTGTTGCGATTTTTGCTCAGCTACTGGATGCTGGCTAGTGGAAGTTAACGAAATAAAGGAGAAAAGGTGGACACTAGTACACTCAGGGTGTAATTAATATATGATTAATCGAATATGTTGAATTTCGATCATTGATTCACTGTGAAGTGCAATTTAGCTACCCTACGGCGGAATTTCGTATAGTAAAGGTCCTGTATAAATATTGATCAAAGCTTGATACTCTGGATTGCGATCTTCTTACCTTGTTGAAATTTCAGCAGAGAGTAGTCTCAGCCCCAAGATTCAGAATTATCAGCAGCTTCATATTTCTAGAGGTCCTTCTTTGTCTCGACTTCACTTCTCTTGCCTTTACGCTTCGACTCCTCACGGGTAGAGTAAATCATGTCCGTGAAAGGTCTATCAGGTAAGGACGAGACGTTAGCATACAATATGTGCAGAGCTTGTGAGGAATTTCCGTTCTCGAAGGTACCAAATTCTGATGAAAGTGCACGTACCCTTCAAAACGCAAGGCAATGATATATACAATGTAAACGTAAAGTGTAATCAATAATCCAACAGGCCGCTCATACCTCGACTCAAAGTCAGAAATAATTCATGGATCGCGGGAGAGCGTCGTCACTCACCAAAGAGCACCAGCGGCAAAGCACATTGTACTCCCAACATACATGGGATCTCGCAGGACATTGAATGGAAAGCTTGTGGAATCGGTGAAGTCAGTCGAGTTTAACAAAGAAGTTCTTCAACTTACCCCTCAACCTTCGAATCCATCAAGATGCCAAAGTAATCACCGAGGAATGTTCCCGTTATACCCAATTGCCACGTCGAAGTCAACACAAAGATTTGTCCGACGATAGCCAAGGCTGCTGGAACAATGGTGTCCCATGGTTGGGGAAGAATGGCTTTTTGAGGCTGAGCAAGTAGAGCACGAGTGTACCTAAGTTATTAAGATGAGGAAGAGAGAAGGCGAAAGAAAGAGAATGAAAACTCACAGAGAGTCCCTCAACATTCCGAATGAGAAAATCATGATCGCGAGGAAGTAACATCCGATCCTAGCGTTTCCACCAAACACATTACGCGTCAAGGTGCGGTTCCGGTGCTCTTTACAGAGTAACAGTAAGGCCAGTGGATTGAGAAAATGTTCAGGTTAACGACTTGATAGTTTATAGCATGGGAATCAAAGCGAGACCCACCATTTCTAGCAACAATATTCCACGCAGTCGGATTGAACGCTATTGCAGCTATTGAAATCCACAGAGACTGCTGAGACGCGTCAAAGGGAACAAATTTTTGTAGCTGGGATATAAGAGAGTCCATGGATGTGAAGTTCTCGCGAAAGAGTTCGTTGCGGGTCGTCGAGATGTCTACGAGGATAAGTTATAAAGGAACTCAAAACTGCTCAATTTATCGCACCGTGTCTGAAAGTGAAAAGAAGGAACACGAGAAATGAAAAATTCGTCCAACATGACGTGTATCTCCATCGGCCCGAAGCATCCGAAAGTTAAGCTATATATGGACAAGGCAAAGCTGTATATATCGATCCTTTTAAAGTAGTTTCGACTCTCGATCGCATCAGTTGTAGGAAAGTATTGCTTGCCAACTCGATATTTAGTTTTATTTTTTCAGCGCAGCATATCGAGACCGCTGCCGTTGCCTCGATGCAAGTTGGACTGGTAAGAGATACAGACCCGGAAATCCCATCAATCTGAGTAGCCCTCCTTCAAAAAAAGAATTCACATAAATCATGAAACCGTTGTCAGAAAAATTACGATATGTCAAATCTGATGTCCAAAAGGGAGGAACAAAAGAAATATTCAACCTTGACACATGATGTGTACGAGGTGGCGAACGACATGTGGTCAACAATGGAAGACCTCACAGTCACTTTCTGCTTCACTGTTGTATACCATCACAACTCTTTCTTAACGAACCACCACCAACGTCGTTGAACGATAATATTCTCTCTCAAAATCTCGGAAAACCAACGCACTCGCTTTTATTTCAACAAATTCTTAATTGATCTTCTACTACCGTCCTTGGCCTGGCGTCACCGAGAAAGTATCGACATTCTTTCAACTACACAAACCACGAATCAGTCTAGCAGCAACTTCGATCTGGCATCGACCCGACTAACCCAAAATTCACTCTTTCGTTCGCTTAGAATCCAAAAGAATACCATGAGCCATCAGCATCACCTCGAAGATCAGTCTCATGCAAACGTTTGGTTAGGCAACCCCAGCAGCGTCCCTGCCTACCCAGCAGTATTATCCCACCCCCAACCGCATTACGAAAATCAACCGAGTACCCCCGCTGCAACGATGATCCCTATCCCGGTTGCAGATCCTGCAGTTCTTCTGTCCGATCAACAACAGGAGCCGGTGACAAACACACCTCACAGCGAGGTAAAGCAGAAGAAGCCAAACACAAAGGCTTCTAGAAGGAGGCCTCAGCCGATAGGCAAAAATCTGCGCGTTATTAAATCCAAAACTTCACCTTCGTTAGAAATTTATCAATTCGAGTGGCAATCTGAGGTGGCCAACGTTGACCAAGGTTCCACGAGTTTCGCACAGTGAGATTCAGTTCCTGTTATCCGTCGGTCACTTCAACGGGCTGACTGGTTTTCTTTCGTTTGTGTAGCGAGACCATGGAACAGCAGACTGGAAGCCAGAACCACTTCCACGCTGTCCAGCCTGTGATTCAACAAAATACCAACTGGCTTAGCGAGCAGTTTCAATATCCGGTACAGGATTGGAACGTGCTCGATCCTCAGTCCCAGCAAAGCCTGAGTCAGAGCCCGCAGGTCTGGCACCAGACTCAGCTCATGTATCCCCTCATTACCCAAGGGGGGCAACCCCAAGGCATGGCGCCTCAAGATCTTGTTCAGCCCCAAAATCAGTTCATCGCGGATGACCAACATCAAGCTGCTCAATTTGCTTATTCCGCCCAAGGGTATCAGCTGAAGCAGACTGCCAAGCGGTGGGGACACACTCGGATAATGGCTGCATACCAGCGCTACTTGGCACAGCGAGCTGTCCACCCAAGTCAGCAACTCAGTATCCCTGCCCAACCGACAGATTCCTGGGTCCATCCTCAACGGTATCATCCATACCAGCACTCGAGTATGAGTCCGACGATTTATCAAGCACCAAGACCGCCTACGCATCAAGACCAGATGTCTTCTGGGATGAATGTACTTCTTCCACCTCTTGACCATTGCCAACCGTCGTACCAGAGCTCTGGAACGTCCTCTTCCAGCTCATGTCATGCCTCTGCTTCAGCGTCCATGACTCCTGTCTGGAATGAAAAATATTCCCCGTCTCCTAATCATTGCGGGACAACGTTCGACGCGCAGAATTTCCAGATCCCACCTGCCCAACACCGTTGGGATCAATTTCAAGCCCAATCGTTAGAAGCACATCAACAGCAGCATGATTTGCGTGGACTTGGCTACGCCACCTCCGAACTTGCATGCGACTCATACCATTCGCAAGCCATCCAACATAGTACCGCAAAAGAGACGGCAAATGTAGAAGACCGGAACGGTCAAGCGTTTGACAACGAGAATGTGGGTGACGACGGATCACTCTTCGGAGACGACAACGATGGCAGAGGGCTCGCATTACCAGGCATCACCAATGTCCAGGTTAATTTACTACACAACCAATTGGCCTTGCCTGGTTCCACGAACACGACTGTTCTGATACCAGCGGCAAACGACTCGATATGCGCAGATGGAGTAGTAAAGGATGATTTCCTCTTCGTCGCTGAGTCCTCGGAACCACCTGCGCCTATCGCTCCGGTTCCTCAGGGAATACCTAGAACCGCTTATACAGCCCCAGTGGCGGAAGATTTTGATTTAGAGGCGGAACTCCAGAAAGCTTATGACTCGTTGAGCTCCCCTTCTGCGTCTCCTGCGGTTCTCCCCGCGAGTAACCCCGTCCGCGGGGACAAGGGCAAGTCCAGAAAACGAGACTCCGCCAAAAAGACAACTCAAATAGAATTTCAATCGAATGACGACCCGATACTTGATAGATTTTCTCGTGCCCTCCTACAGTTCCAGGACCCACATTCGGCTTGGGTTCACTCAAGCGCTGTCTCGTTCGAACCACCGAAGCAGTCCCGCCAGTGTAAACTGGTCAA